GGGAACAAACTACATGCATTTCCTCCTTAAAAATTGCAGTTGCTGATTCTTCGTTCTTGGACATTTTTCTCCAGGCCCTCACACTGCTGACCTCTCATTCTAGGATCTTAAATAGCACCCGTCAACAAGGCAGAGTAGCTCCTCTTTCCACATCATTTCCATCATATTACCACAGGTGTACTTCCTTTATAACACTCATCAATTTCTGAAATTATCTTTATTTTCATTTTTGTCATCTCTCTTCCCATAAAAGCTCCATGAGGGCAGTGAGCTACTGAATGTCCTATTCCATACTCTAAAGTCAGTGCTTCGATGTGCCACACATGGCGTCTCAAACAAATATCATGAAATGAATGACTAAACAAGGAAATGAAAGGGCCAGGGAATTTATCTAAATGACTCCAGGTATTTTGTTTAGTAAGAGGCATAATCGGACCAGGCCAGGATGACACTAACGCCCAGGCTAACCCCGTTTCCCTTTTTTCAGTAGCTGTTGGAAGAGAAAAGGAGGGTCTGAGAAAGAGCCCCACCACAGAGATGAAAAGAAGAAATTAATTTAAAAGAGATTTTAGAGAAAATTGACCAGAGCTTAGTGACCAGTGAGATCACAAAGGAGGAGCTTAGTGATGGGTAAGATCACTGAGGTGGAGGAGCATAAAACAGAGGAAAGATGATTCCAACATCAGCAACTACACTGCTTATGGTACCAATAAATAATATCAGAAGCTAGAGAGTGGGATTCAGTGACAGTGACCAGGCTGCTGCATCTGGCTTGGGCTCTTGTTTGCACCCTGGCCTGGGTGCCCAATGAGCAGAGGGCCATTGGCTGCACAGGGGACAGGACTTAAAACTTGAATGAGCTCATCCTTCACTCATGGCCCAAATGTTGCCAGCCTCAGTTGTCACCCCATTTCTCATTCTTGCTGAGGGGAGCACATTCTGAGTGTCAGGACAGAGACTAAGGCCAACAAGTAATTCTCCATAGCTGACATCCATCACTTCTGTTCCACTGGGTGCTATTGTATCGATCTGTCACATTCTTAAGGCCATGTCTGTTATTTCCCAAAACGTTCCAAGGTGGTTCGACTTCAGTATTTGTCCTACAGTTTTCTCAAACATCCAAGTCCCAATGTGAGGAGTCTGGGCTTATGATTTTAGCTGTTTGTTACAGATGGGGGATACCTTTGATTTTCAAAAATTTAACAATGTGTATGGTTTTGCATGAAGGAAGTCTTTGTTATGTGCAACATTTTTTTAATGCTTTCATTTGAGGAACAGACGGCAGAACTGATGTTGAGTATTCATTTAACAAATGAGTATAAGATGCATATAATTTCCCAATATGGAGTCCATGTGACAAAAAACTCAGGAGGTAATATGTATGATGTGTTTTAAAAACCAGCTCAAAAATGTTTGTCTAACATACATTGGGAAACTTGCATTCACAGAATTTAATTCTTTCACACAATAAGTCCAAACTTTGGAGAAAATAATCTAAAGGACATATGGATATGTGTATCTAGATATATGTACATAGGTACATGCACACATATGTTTATTTTCATGCTATTTACATTATGGGGTAAAAACATCAAAAGGGAAAAATCTAAATATCTAAAACTCAGAGGATTTGGTCAAATACAATTTATGTTTATAGTAATTATAAAGTGTAACATTATGCTTGCCATTAAAATAATGTTAGAATTTTCATTACAAGGCTAATAATACTGATAAAAGCATGCAATGTAAAAAAAAAGGATAAAACTTTGGCATCGATTAGATCTCATCCGTGAACACTCAGCAGTGAAAAAAGTTGTTAGTGCTTATTTGTTGGTACTTCAGTGCCGGTATAGCAATAGTATAGCACGATTATCAGTGTGCTAGGTGGTGTGAGTGTAGTCTGCACGCATGTGTGAATTCTCTTCTCTTTTTGCACTTTCCAAATGTCCTGCCATGAAGCTGAGTAACTTTTGTAAATAAACCATCTGCCTTCCCAACACCCAAAGAGGAAGAAGAAGAGGAAGAAGAGGAAGGCTATACTCCGGAAGAAGGCTTGGACACTATGCTTGACTCTCAAGAGGAGAAACATGATGGGAAGTTAAAAGGGCTCATAGGAGCTTACTGTGACGACAGGGGTCTGTCTGGGAACTAGACATGAGGAGAGACTACATGTCTTTCTTGTACTCTCTCCAAACTCGCAGGTTTTTGATTTGGGGAATCTGAGTGCTCCATATCTCAGCAGGATGTAGGGTTTTCTGCAGAAAATATTTATTCTTTTGTTATTTGCATAATATTTATAAATATTTCATTCTTGCCAAGAGGAATGAAGATTCCTTTCTTATCTGCCTTTCTGGAAAAAGAAAATAAAATTCAGGGTGAGCATTGACCCTTTATTAAAGTAACTTTCAGCCCTTAGCTTTGAAGCTGCCTGGAATGTGGTTCAGAACATTTCCTCAGCCACTGCGCCCACCAGATAAGTCTAGAGCTCCCTGGTCAGGCCTCCCCTCACCTAGGGATCTCTGTGTGTGGTGTCCACACTTTTCCTGGTGGCCTGGGGTCCTGTGGCACTCTGATAACCCCTGTCTTTTGACTCTGGTTCTCATATCATCTTTTCCATTCAGTGTCCAACCTCTTAGGTTCCAGATCATGGATTGAGATCTAATGAAATCACCATTGTAAAGTAATACAGCAATGGAATTAACGTGCTCTCCTCTTCAAGTAATTCACTTCCACACACTGGGAATTTCCAGTGATAGGTAGCTAATGGAGAAATTGGTGGCTACCAGGGGTAGGAATTTCATATCTGTAGACCTTCTGGAGTTCACAAATCAGTGGCCATGTCCAGCAAGGATTCAATATCTGCAGTTTTATGAAATCACATTTTTATAAAAATAGTTTTTAGAGTTTCTCTGCTCACTTTTAGTATCCTTTTTTTTCTTTTAAGAAATGTTCTGACTTCTTCCCCATAGTTGGTTAAAAATTGCAGTGCACCCGTAAATTGGCACTTCTGATTCCAACATGGAAGGAGAAAAGCTAGGGCTGTAACAACCAACATTTGCTGACAAATAGTGGCAATAAAAGTACCTGAAGCTTCAGTATCATGTAGGACTAGGTTTGGCATTACTCTGGATCATGGCCTTCTAAGTGGTTGATGAAATATTATGGTTTTTTTTTGAGATGGTGTGAGTGTGTACAATGAAGGAAAACAAATCAAATCAGAGTTTTTCACCCATAATTCTAATTTTTTTGTACATGGGATTATTACTAATAAAAGCAATTTTGTTCTGTTCCCTCTCTCCACAGAATGTTCTAGTAGAACAAATATTTTCTATTTACTATTCTATTCCATTTATTGCCCTTTCTTTTCCAGTACAGGAATAGAGGCTGACGTATAACAAATACATGTTGAATGACTAAGTGAATTAATTAAATCTCATTATTATGATGTATTACCTTTGGTTGGTGCCACTGAAATGAATTACTATTCTATTGTGGGTCTTTTGACTGGTCGTTTGAAGCACTTTACATATTTTCTCCATTTTTGTTATGGAGACTAATGAAGTTTTAGGACATTCACATTTTTAAATCACGAATTCAGTCCAAGAATTTCTACAAAATGATGTGGCAGAACATAAAGAGAGGAGGTGAAGGCATGGGGGTTGGACCTTCCCTAGAAGGTTTCTCCAAGCTTTTTAGCGTTTTGGTTCCTCACTGGCAAAGAATACCACCTTCCCTGATTCCAACAGTTGTCTGATGCTTGAAAAAAACTCTTTATGAAAGAATGCTTGTGAACATAGAATATTTGTAAATATTCATTATACAGGATCCAGCAGAAGGAATGCCTGCTCCAGTGTGGTTGGTAGAGTAATAATATGGGTGTCATGATTTATAGTTTTAATTTGAACATTTCACCTAAAATGTCGTATGGTGTGCTTTGAGTGTGATATTATGTTATAGAATTACATGCTTATAATTATGTAATAAAAGATTTTTTTATAAAAAAGGAATATTATTTGTGCTGAACCCTGTATTTTGTGTTTGCCATAAAGTTGGAGAGAAAGAGACAAAAATGCAGAGTATAATGATTAGTCTACGTGTCACCTTGGCTAGGCTATAGTACTCACTTATTTAATCAAACACTAATCTAAGTGTTACTGTCAAGACAGTTTGTAGACGTGATTAATACCTACAGTCAGTTGGCTTTCAGCAAAAGAAGTTACCCTGGATCATGTGGGTGGACCTAATCCAATCATTTGGAAAGACAGGCAAAAACTGATGTTTTCTGCTGAAGAAGGAATTCTGTCTCAAGACTACAACATCAAATCCCATCTGAATTTCTAGTCTGTCGGTCTGATTTATGAATTTCAGATCTACTAGAGTGTAGAAGCTTATTCCTGAAAATAAATCTCTTTATATGTATGTATGTATGTTCTGTTTGTATATGTATGAGCATATATATATGCAAATGTATATATGTATTCATTCTGTTTCTCTAGAGAACCATGATTGATACAGGTAAACAATAGGCAAAGAAAAAAGTCACATTTGTGTAAATGCTTTTCACTTTATAGTAGTTTTTCAAACTTAATGATGTTTATGAAGTTTGGCAGTATCTAAAGTACAACACCAAATGCATGTATGGGGGTCAAGGAATTTACAAGGTAATACACTTTAAAGTATACACTCATCTGCTAACAAGTTAGACAATTGGGAACCCAAGAGTTGTTTGGTGTAGTCCCTGCCCCACAGATCAAACAAAATCTTCCAAATGTTTTGAAGCCCAAGCTCCTGCTACTAACACCATGCTTCCAGCTGCCAATCACGAAACACCTCACAATTGCACAGAAATTCTCCTGGGTACATAGGTAAAAACGAATACATCAGTAGTTAGTTTTGCAGAACATAATGTATTGATTCTCTTTAGAAGCAGGGAACTGCAATGCATGCAGACCTAAACAAACAAAACAAACATTTTTGAGGAAACAAATAAACAAACTTGCTTTGAACAGCAGGAGACGATGTTTTGGCAGCTGAGCAGGGCAAGAGCTTCATGAGCCGCTCTTTGATGCTGCGTTTGGTGTTGCTCTGAGCGTAGAGGAAACCTAAAAGATACCGATGGGTTCTGTTAATTCTGTCTTCCCAGAGAAACTAGGGCAGGCTGCATGGTTTATCAGAGGAAGCAGGCAGGCAGGGCCTGTGCACAGCCATCCATCCGTTCAAGGCAATCACAGGCAGTAGGTCGGGAACCCGGGAGGGACAAAAAATCCTTTCCCCCTTCTGTTTTTCTCATTTTTGAGGTTTTCTCTTCAAAACTTTTTCTTACATTGCTTTAAAGATAATGATGAGCAAGTGAAAACAGAATCATGCAAATATATCTTTCAAGTGACAAAAGTAAATTTTAGTGGCTTTTTTAAATAACTTTAGATTGGGAAGAAAATAAATATCATCAAAGAGATAACTGGTAAGATTTCAATATTCAAACCAGCATTAAGGGCCCATAGGGCAATTTTCTGTTCTCATTGCTCCTCATCTTTGATTAGCAAGGAGAGAGATGCTTTGCATAAATCATTCACACACCAGTCACCTGTTAATACCTTTGCCTTCCCTGAAAGTGAGAAAAATGGATGTCCTTGATATGCAGCTTCATTAGCATAAGTTGACATGCCCAGAGATGGGGCGGTCTTTCACATTTTTTTATGTGTTAACATTACTGGATGGAATTATTCAAGCAGAGTAATGCTAAAAGAAGCAAGGTGTGCTTGAAAAATGTTAACCCAGGAATAGACAAAGGGGTATCTCTGACTTCAGATAGTTCATGAGGACTGGAAGAAAATCTTTAGCCGCCCAGTGGGTACGCTCCCAAAACACCTGACTGTCCAACTCAGCATCAGCCTACCCACTCTGAGTGCCCAGAGCTTGAATTTACACTTGGATGGATATATTGTCTCCCCCAAATCAGTTTGGAAGGTGCTGAATATAAAGCACATAGGAAAAGAACCAATTTAAATTGAGATTAGGCCATCTTTATAATATGTATGGGCCTTGCAGATGTATTGTTTATTGCTTTTCTACTTTATAATTTCAATCTCACAATTATAAGAAGTCCTGACTGCAAGGCTGCTGATGTGTTTTTATGTGTTTTTATATGTTACAAGGCCCCTTTGGGGCTGGTTCCACCCCATATTAGTGTCTATAGATCTCTTGGATGGGGGATGATAGTAAGTTAGTCGGTAGATAAACCTAATCAGATCATTTCCCTGCTCAAAAGCCCTTTAAAACTTTCATGTTGTCCTTTGAAGAAAAACTCACACTTCCCACTATGGACCCAAACACCCTTACTCTGACAGCATTTTCCACTACCTTCCCTGTTGCTCCTAATGGGCGATCAACCATTGGTCACACCACCTTTCTTGCCTTTGTTGGAACTCACAAACCAGGCTGCCACCCTGATCTTGACACTGATTTGAACAAATGGAATGTCTTGTTCCCTTGATATCCCAGGGGCTGGCTGAGGGTCTGGCACACAGGTGGGATTCCGTCAGGGCCTGACAGGTGAGGGAATAAATCCACTTCCCAACACCAAAGGAAGATCTGATTTTATTTCCTCGATTAGTATCTAAGTAAGCTTTTAAGTTTGTAAAGTAAAATAAATTTGATTTATATAACACAGTCTCTTCAGTTGGCTTCTTTCCATTACATTTCTAGAGGGTCACATCCATCCAAGAGCCACCTCCTTCTCAGGACTTTGGACTCTGCTTTAGCTCCCCAAGCAGGACATCTGCTTCTTCTTTCAAGTCACTGCAAATTTCCACCCACAGCATGGGGAACCTGACAGGTCCTTCACTAGCCATCAATTTCTAAATGCCCTCGCAGACTTTACTACTCAATTCAAACACGCCTCTCTCTGGAAGACTATCCCTGCTGCATCCTGAAACCTTCCTGAGAAAAGAGAGACCTCCTCGCTCAACCCCTGCTCTACCTTCTCTATTGTTCCCCAGTCACACCCTATTGTTCTGGATATCACACCTTACTTGCAGAATGAAACCCTATTCTGACAAAGAGAGACAAGGCTGTATCAGCCACCTGTTATAGGAAAAAGCCTTTAGGGGTTTTTTTTCCACCTCTGACCCAGCTTTGCTTCAGATTTCATTTCGCACATCTAGCCAAACTATAATCATACCTGACACTGGCACATGGCAGGCACTCTAGAAATATTTGCCAGTTGTTCCTCCTTTTCCCTTAAGTTTTCATGTCTGCCAAGCTTGCTCCATCTATAACCACTTCTCAGACACTCAGGCCTTGGGTTGGGGGAGGATCTTCCTACTTCCCTGGTTACACTCCCTCCCAGCACCCACTATTGGGTAACTAACACTGTTTTTACTCGAAGCATCTTTTGAGCTGTTCTTGAGATTAGAAGGTAGACAGGCTGCTGTTATTAATCAGGAGTTAGAAGTCCCAGAGTTTAGTCCCTGTTTGACTACTTCAAGCTGAGTGACCTTTGGTAATTTATTAAACTTCTTTGGGCCTCTGTCTTTTCTTTATAAAACAAAAGATTTGTAGTGAAAGATCTTTGTTGTCAAAACACAGTCTAAAGGTCCTCTTCAGGAGAGTATACAGGGTGGGGCAAATTAGGTTTACAGTTGTTCATATGTAATATAATACAATAATAAATTATAATACAGGAATAAACATTTTTACATATTTACCATTTAAGCCTCTTTTGTCCCACCCTGTATTTAAATATAAATTGTGTATGGTTACTACTTGTTTTCACAGTGTTTTCTCCTGAGTGAGACCTTTAGTTCCTGGAAGGCCACACGTAGCAGTCATATAAATTCTTCTCTCCCCTCTCTCTCTCTTATCAGATTATTATGCTTTTCTTTGTTTGTTTTCCTTAAAGTGTAGTAGTTGAGTGTTCCAGTGCTGTAGTAAAACAGCCTGGATCCAAATCCTAGCACTACATGACCTTGGGTAAGCTTGTTCAATCTCTCTGAATCTTAGTTCATCAGTAAAATGGATTAGTAATAGTATCTCCTAAGGTTGTTATAATTAGAATCTAATGAGATAACACATAGAGCATTTAGGGTGCTGACTATTCATAATATACCCTTAATAAATGTTAGATAATATTTTTTCAGCTCATTGAGTAGGTTCTATGTTTTTTGACCTCCATGTCACAATCTCTATCTAAACTGTAGTTTTGCCTCTGTGGCCTTTTCATCCTGGAGATTTTAGTTTAGTAATCACTTTCTGAGGAAAACTTTACATGACAGACTAACGTAGATTATGAGCAGCTCTGTTACATGCTGATAGTTCCCTCTATTTTTCCTTATCACGACTATAAATTTATTTCCATTACCACAAATATAATTAAAAGAATCGAAGATGCCATCATGGATTTGACATATATCTTCCCTACTGCCATGTACGCTTGAAAGTTTTTACTTCCAGTCTTTAGAGAATAAACACTGCCAGATGTGCTACCTGACTCTAAGCAACTGTGTAACTGGGCAAGCCATATGAGGAAACTGTTTTCAACAGCAAGCAATGTAGAACTGTGCTGCATGGCGGGAAAGAAACCCAAGAGGTGGGCTCCGCAAATATCCTGGCTCTCTCTGCCTAGCAGCATGCTTTTTCCATTGTTCAGAGAGGTGGTATGACAGTGGGCAATTATAACCCTCCCTACCATTCTTTTGACGTTGTTTCTGTAAGTGCTGAGTCTAATATGTACTTTGTAGATAAATAGCATGTTTGTATAGAAATCCTAGGAACTAACTTCAAAGGATGCAGACTCCAATCTTCAGACATCCCGGCTCTGGAAAGATGTGCTGACTTCCAACCATGGAGCCAGGATGAAGTAAAGTCAGGTGATGTGAAGCCAGGATGACTAAACCAGCATGACGCACTCTGGACCATCACTTCCCTTACTGGAATGGACTGTGCTGGTCTTCATGTAGAGAACTTTCCAACTCCTTCCCTTTATCTGTTTGTCCTGCTTTTCCTCTCCCTCCTTATAAAAACTTGTGCCTGCACTGAGATGTTAAAATGGGCTCTGAGACATGAGTCTCTACTCTTCTCAGGTGACTATTACTAAACAAACCACTTTCCTTTTCACGAGCACCTGTCTCATGAATTTGGCTTTCATGGCAACAGGCAGTTGGAACTATGTTTGGAAAAAGGGGAGCTCATGTTGACTAAGCTGAGGTGACAGAGGTTGAAATTCTAGGCTTTAAAAGTGACTAGAATTTACAGGAAAGGGTGCTAGAGAAGAGAGAACTGGTATGTGTGTTGGAAGAAAGGATCTGTGCAAGGATAGAATGTGGGTCATTGTTAATTTTATGTGTCAACTTGACTGGGTTAAGAGATGCCCTGGTAGCTGGTAAAGCATTGTTGTGGGTATATCTGTGAGGGTGTTTCTAGAACAGATTATCAACTGAACTGATAGACCGAATAAAGAATACCACCTTCACCAAAGCTGGTGGCCACTATCAAATAAGTTGAGGAATTAAATAGAACAGAAAGGAAGGGGAAAGAAGAATTTTTCTCTGCTTGAATTGGGACAACCATTGCCCCCAGCCCAATGCCCAATGACATTGGTGCTCCTGGTTCTCAGGCCTTCAGGTTTGAACTGGAACTATACCATCAGCTTTACTAAACTTCTAACTTGCAGATGGCATTTTTAGGACTTCTCAGCTCTATAATTGTGTGAGCCAGTATCTTATAATAAATCCATAGTAATGGAGAGATACACCGACCGGTTGTCTCTTACACATCCCTCAACTGACCCGAAACCGAGGCATGTGCCCTGATTGCAAATCCAACCAGCAACCCTTCAGTTCATAGACTGGTGCTCTATCCGTTGAGCCACACTAGCCAGGGTTCAGCTTCTCTTATTAAACCTGACTTTGCTGATGGCAGGATTCTCTTCAATTATTAAAAGGGCAAAAGATTTATATGCTCTGAAGAGAAACCAGAATATTCTTCATTTATTAAAAACAAATTTACTGAGTGCTTACACTAGGCAGTGTCCCAGGTGCTGAGTACAAGACAAAAAAATTCTCGCTTAAATTAATCTTACCGTACAGTCAGAGAAGAGAAATAA